ATTCGCCGAACCCAAAAGAAAGAAACAAAAAAAACCACCAAAAACCTCGAAGTCTCCAACTTTATCCGGAAACACGGGCGAGGCGAGACACACACCTCCCGCCGCCACTCACAACCACGCGAACCACTCCATGCCAACAAAGCCGACCCCCGCCATCGTCCACGACGCCTCGCGACAGGGCGGCGAATCGGGAAAAAACACACACAAGAAAAAGGGAGACGAGACATCGAGAAGAAGAATCGAAGAGAGAGGCACGCGCGCGCACCTGCAGCGGCGGAGCGGAGGTACGGCCGATTCGGTCGCCGGAGGCGGAAGCGCGAATCGGCGAGCTCAAACGAGCAGAGAGAGAGAGAGATGGAAGACGAAGAGATCGCCGGCGACGATCGGAGCTCGAGCGTTCAGTCCACCACGTCGCGGGAAGAATGGAGTGCCCCACACCCCCAATTCCCAAATCCGAAATGAGCCCTAATTCCTTCCTCGACTTCCTCCCCTTTATATGTGCCGCTTTAATGCCCAAGAACGGTAGAGAGAGAGAGAGAGAGAGAGAGTGTGTATTTTTTTTATTTTCTTTTTTTTTTTGGTTTTTTTTTGTAATATAGTCGTGAGATTAAAATGTTGTTTGTTCAGAATGATAAAAAAAAAGGTTTTCTTCTTATATAGAAGATAAAATCAGCAGTGTAAAGACCATATTATCAATTTGTCAAAAAAATTTAACCAAAAAAAAAATTTTCGAAAAAGGATTATGTAATTTTGTTAAATAGAGATAAGTGAATCGTCGCTAAAGCGGCACGGGCCTGAGGGAGCGATTAAATTTGGAAATAATTGATAGCTTCAATCGCGTTTTCAGGGAAAAGATCTTGTTAATTTCCGTTATAGACAGTTGATAGTTATTTAACGAAATTAGTTTTTCACATCGTTATTTTTCAGTTGCGGTTTTAATGTGTCGGCCTCGTATTGATTCGTGTTTGAAAAGTTGAATAACAAGCTTCCGAAAGTTCATGTCTTGAGGCTCATTAACAAAGCTATGTATATTCTTTGTCCAACATCGTATTGGGTTTTCATTCCTCAACACCCAACGACTTGCGAATGCGTTGCGGGTTTTCCTTTATCGTACTTAGAATAGCACGTCTTTTTTTAAATCCCACACCGCTTCTTAACACATCTATTGTTAATTTTTCTTTTCTAAACTAAGTGCTAAATGAAAATCACAAAAACAATATGCATAGACACTAGAATGGTGACAAAAAACTCTTTGGACTAAAATGGTAAACCAGCAAATTGGAAAATATTTTTTTTAAAATGATTGCCTATATCGCTTATAAAAAGTCCACGAAAATATTTAGACAAAAAATTGTAGTTAATAATGAAAACATTTTTCATCGATCAATTATTTTAAGAGATATAAGCGCTTTTTTAAGGAAAATATTTTTCAAATCATTCAGTTTTTACAAAATAAACGGAGACTTAAGTACTCATTACGATTTCATCATCTCTTATTTATGATCGTAAAAGGTACGAAACTCTTATAAAAAAGTGTACGAGATACCTCGAATTTTTAATTTTCTTGGAACCGACGTGATTGGCTCTATATAGGCATGGCCACGGGCCGGTTTCGGCCCGGAACCGGCCCGTTGACCGGGCCCGCGGTTCGGAACCGGAACCAGCCCGTGGCTTACAGGCCCGGTTCCGGTTCCAAAAAAAAATGTAAAAAAATTTAAAAAAAAAAGAAAAAAGAAAACCTGCAGCAGGGCCTGCAGGCCCGTCGCCAGGGCAGCCTTGGCAACAGGCAAAAATAAAATAAATAAATAAAAGATAACCGTTGCAATTTGCAACGGTTATTTAACCTTTTTTTTTCCTAAATTTTCTTCTCATTTTTTTCTTATAAATTTTCTCAAATTCTCTAAACACTCTCAATTCTCTTCTCTCAAATTTTCTCAATATTCTAAATTCTCTCAATTTTCTCAATCCGCGCAATTCTCTCTTAATTCTCCCAATCAATCCGCTCAATTCTCTCAATCCACTCAAAAAATGGCAAGTGGAAGTCAAGCGCCAATTGGCAAATGTAAGAATATCATGACGGAATCCCATCATTCTTTTGATTCTCGTGATTATGCAGATTTTCAAGATGATAAAATCAACATTTTTCCCGATGTGGAGCACGTCCCGACGCAAGAAAGTCTTCATCCTCATGCCGAAATGTCTACAACAAAGGAGGCGGAGTGGGAACTTACATCTGACATTTGGGACCACATCACGAAAACGGAAAGATTTGATATTGGTCAAAAAATGTATGATATAATTTGTAAACATTGTGGGAAAATATATAAATATACAGGTGGACAAGGATATGGAACATTCAAACGACATCTTAGGAGCAAACATCCAACCCAAGCGGAAATCGATATCAGGCAACAACAAATTTCTAGGTACGTCAATCCTAACACTTCTCCTTTATTTCGTTTTAATGAAAAAACTTATAAGGAAGAATTAGATAAATTTGTTTCCGTTGAGCATTTATCATTTAATTTTGGAGAAAGATTTGGTTTTAATCAATTTGTACAAAAAGCATGTGCTCCACAAGCAAAACGTGTTCCTAGAAATTCACTTAAACAAGTAATTAAAGATCTTTACAAAAATGAAAAAAAAAGATTTACAAAACTTTTTTATGTAATTTAATGGATGTGTGCATATAGGTAATGATATTTGGAGTCGTCATTGGCAAATTCATTCTTATATGGGCATAACATGTTATTAGATAGATGACGATTGGAATATTCAAAAAAGAGTCATTGCATTTAGAGTTTTCGATGGTAAGCATACGGCAAATAATATTTATAGAATAATTAGGCAAATTTTAGAAGAATATTGTTTGCTTAACAAAATTTTTTCAATTGGTTTTGATAATGCCGCGGCAAATACCGCTTCAATTGCCGATTTAGAAAATATTTGTAAACCCGCTTTTGGCAGAAAATTTTTTCACGTTAGATGTGCTTGTCATGTTTTAAATTTATGTGTACAAGATGGTTTGAAAACTCTTGATATTTTTCTTGAACCAATAAAAACGGCAATTCAATTTTTATGGAAACTTCCCCAAAAAATGAAAGAATGGGGTAGATTTTGTAAAGCAAATGAAAAAAGGCTAAAAATATTTCCAATAGATGTTCTAACTCGTTGGAATTCTACTTTCCACTTGCTTAGTGAATCTTTTGCATATAAAGATTTATTATGTGCATTCATTTCTAATAATACACCTCAGATTAATTTATACCGGCAAGAGTGAGATATTTGCAAAAAAAATTTAGATATTTTAAAGGTTTTTAATAATGCAACTTATACTTTGTCCGGTGTTTATTATCCTACTACGCATTTATTTTTAGTAGAGTGTATTAATATTGTCGGAGTTTTTGAGGAATATGAAAATGATTTTGAATTACAAAATACTATAGTAACAATGAAAATGAAGTGACTGCATTATTATAGCGAAATTCTCATTATTTATTTAGTTGCTTGTGTTTTTTATCCGCGTTGCAAATTAGATGGTTTATGTGATTATTTGCATATGTATTATCAATGTTTACATTATGATACGGTAAATGTTACAACCATACTAAGCGAGGTTAAAAACGTAGTATTAGAATTATATAATGAATTTTATACTAAATATAATTTAGGTGATATTGGATCTTCTCAATCTACCGAGACACAAAGTGAGAGTATAGGTAAAATTAGTAGAGGGTACCAACTTTTATTACATAGACAAAAAAAGCAAAATGGAGTAATAGGAAATATTTCTGAATTAGAGATGTATCTAACCGTTTCCTTTGAGTTTACTGAATCCGAAGGTAGTACAGGTTTTTTAATTTTGGATTGGTGGAAGAGGCACGTAAGCCAATACCCAATCATTTCTCTTATTGCAAAACAAATTTTTGCAACCCCTTATTCCACAGTTGCGGTCGAACAAGCATTTAGTGCCGGAGGTAATATTTTGGACGAACAACGTTCAAGATTAGTTTCAGAATCAGTGGAGGCTCAAGCTTGTGTCGATGATTGGACGAAGGCTCAATACCAACAACAAGAGATAGATCGGAATAATGAATCCGAATTCTTTAACGACGGAGATACCATCACTACTCAGACGTACGAATGGCAGCGGCGACGATCGACGTAAAAGAACTGTTGGAGTTGGCAAATATTTCTGGGACCCTTGTTTCTCATACCGGGCACGCCCATGGGAGCTTAGGGAAACCGAAGTATAATCCGACGACCTGTGACCCTTGCGCACGGAATGCGGGGGTTCGGGGGTAACGCTCCCAAAACGGTGGTCCCGCTGATCGGTTAGCGGGCGGGGGTTCCACTCCCCAGTGAGCAGACAGCTGCCCCGCTCCCCGGTGAGTGGGCAGGGGTTCGGGGGCAGCGCCCCCGAAACAAACAACGGATTTGGGCTTGTGTTTAAGTTGGCCCGTTTGTTGTGGGATCAAAGAGGTTTCGCATAGGCTTAGGTTTTGGAGTCATTTTAGGGCATATATATTGTGCTCCTTTTTTTTATAGATCATTGTAACGAATTGTAAAGCTCATAATGATAATTCATTAAGTTCAAGCCCCCTCTTTCTCTCTTTTTTTCTCCAAATTTGATTACAATTTACATTTTGATTACAATTTATATTGAATAATTCATTATTTCATAATATCATAATTCATTATTTTTTTATTTCATAATTTATTTTTTTAATTTTTAAATTATGAACCGAAACCGTCTCGAAACCAGCAGGAACCGGAACCGGACCAGAACCGGCCTGGAACCAGAACCGGACGGTTCCGGTTCATACATGGCCACGAATCGGAACTGGCCGGTTCCGAACCATGGCCATGCCTAGCTCTATACATATTTCGAGAAAGTCGATTTTGACACCAGTCCTTTTCTCTATAAATGTCCACTTACCAAAAAAATAAAAATCGAATAAAAAAAACGGGGGTGTAGATCGATTTATCATACTACCGAAATAAGAAGATAATGTTTCCCTCCATATCTTGCTCTCACTCTGGTCACATGGCAACAGCCACATATTCTTCTTCTTCTTCTTCACTGTTCTGTCGCTTCCATGATACGGGAGGTAATCATCACCAGAAGCCCAAGAGCTGAAGCTTCCATCTTCTTTTTGCTTTCTGCTCAAATCCCACTTTCAGATTTATGCTCAATGTCCATCTGCTTCAAGAGTTTTAGGAACTCTTGTTATCAAAGAATGAAAAGAAGTTAGGGAAATTTCAGCTTCATGCCTTGAATCTCTCTCTCTCTGACACTTGTAGGAAAATGGCGTCCTTTGGTAAGCAAGCGATGGAGTATCAACGCCTCCGTAAGTCCATTGCTTGTTCTCAAGTATGAAGCTTGGAATGACTATGTCGAAAATAGTTGCAACATATGATATTTCAATCTAACAAAGAAGAAACAGTGTTGTGTTGGTCTTGGTGATCAAGAGAATTGATAACCCTACGTCTTTGTCAATTTGTGCCGACTTAATCGGGGTTCTTTTCTTCCCCGCTGTACTTGCGAAACTTCGAAAGAGCTAGCTTATCTCAAGAAGATGCAACTTTTCGTGTTGACAACCTTTCTGGGAGATCTTGAGATTCAGTGTACTTGTTTCTTGCGCTACTGCTTGAAAATGGGCTCTTCTCTTGCGATGATGTTGTTGGTGCCGTCGCTATTCTTCTTTGTTTCCAGAATTCTGGATGGCGGGCATTTTTCTGTAGGTCATCATTAGTAAGCTCAAGGTCTATGAGCTAGTACGAAAAAAAGAAATGGGTTGTTTCTGTGTGGTTAATACAATTAACCTTGAGTTTCTCGGGCATATATTCTAGCCATGTAAGGCGATAAACGAGTGAGTGGGAGTCTCTTCCTATTCATAACTAGTCTCGCGAGGTGTTGCTCACAACAAAATCGATCTTGGACCGTGTTGTCTGAGATCGACTTGGAGAGCGGATGAAACTCCAATAGTTGCCTTTTCAACTTAACAGAGTTTCTTTTCTAGCAAAAAAAAAAAAAAACTTAACAGAGTTTCTGAGCTAATCTTGCTTCCATGTCTCTGTCGGTTAGAATGAGGGCATCTTGTCACAGTTAATATGAAGAATGTTGTCCAGTTAGATTCTTGATGATCTGAAGGGCACATATCTTACGGAAACAAGTGAATGATTCTGTGAAATTGGAAGAACAATTTAACTCGAATTGAAAAGTTGCTTAATGATGATGCAGTCCTAATTTTTATCCAGATTGCAACATTGCAAAGTATGCAAATCTGTTGTTATCCGAACGGCATAGTGTAATAAGTAGAGATAGAATGATTAGAGACTCTCTTAGTACTACTTGTTTTGAGACTTCTATAATAGTCTCTAAACGTGAGAATCCATCATATGTTCATACTCTCCTATGATTGCCCGGCACAGATTTCAAGAAGTCAAAAAGCACCGCGCCGTCTGATCACAATTGGAACATCGGACAGAAGGTGGCATGGGAAATGGACCTGCGATTATATCCTCTCTCTTCGAGACTTGCGGTTATTGGATTTGGTCGAAGACGACCAGAAAGACACGAAAGTTTTCGTCAACCTCAGCATAGAGAAGGTGAAGTCTTCTTTCCCTTATCGGTTGGAAATTGCTCGGGGTGTTCAATAAGTATGTTATGCGACAGTGGCAATCCAACTGGTCAATAATAAACCTTAAAACCAAGTTTAAACATATATTCCAACAATCAGTTCATAGTTTTCGTCTCCATTTCCATATATTTAAAGCCCTGCAAGATATACTCTCGTGTCAAAAAGGATTGCAACTAAATTTCGTCATGCTCTGTCGAATCAACTTCTATCTCTAAGTTTGGTCATTGGCTGCTCGCGACAAAGAACCGTCTGAAAGACCAGGCTCCCCTACTGGGAGAAGGATGTCTCGTGAGTAAAAACTCAGGAGTTTACAACCTGCTCGGTCGGCAATTACCATGTCCAAGTATGCTAAACACTCTTAATCCTTAGCCATAAGCTAGTCAGCACACATAGTCAACAGGCTAGTGAATTAATAACAATTGTAAGATCTGTCTTCCTCATGATATGAAGATCAAATACAAAGTAGGATGATGTTTGCGTTCGCCCACGAGTGATATAGTTTACAAATTGGATGACTGGAAAGTCTTCTAAGCGCCGATACACCATTTGAATGGTGATGACTGCAAATGGAGAGACTACTCTCTTACACATTTCTGAAAAAAAAAATCCATTTATTCTCTCTCGTGCGCCGGCTTTAAATCGGTACCCCAAGTCTTCCAATTTATCGAGCTCTTTTCTCTTTTTTGGACAGCATGCCAGCTTCGGCTTATCAATCGATGGGAGGATCACTACTTCTTTCACCAGAAAATGCAGTAATTGCTCTTCCCCGTACTGCAGAGAGGTAAAGTTTTCAGTTATCAACAAGCAGACAAAGGAAAGCATGTCAGAACACAATGGACCAACTCTCTCTTGCCTACAATCAAACTTGACCTACCGCCGCATTACCTTATAGAATTGGCGCCATTGTGTTTATGATCATCCTTTTTCCTTGTTCAGCAGATTAATACAAGTTTCAATGTTTGGGTTCTGACATCTAATAGAGTCAGTCACGCGACCGAAGTTCCCGAGATCGGAGGAGATGATCCATCAGTAAGTCTCTCATACCCTCTCTCTCTCTCTGTCTCTCTCTGTCTCTCTCTGTCTCTCACTAACACGAGTGTTTCGGCAGGTCATCTATGTCAAACCTGGATATGAAGCTCATCTCGATCCACTTATTCAAGACACTCTTCGGCTTACTACCTCGGTCAAAGTACGGATCCAACAAGAGAATAGTTGTCCAAATTTTACCTTCTGATATATCTGCTCATAGATATAAGGACAGGAGCCAAGGCCATACTGATTCTAAAGAAGATTACTACGTGCACATGCACAAGCGGAAAACGTTTTTCCAAGTCCATTTAGTAATTCTACTTCGTGATTCCATTTGCAGGATACATGCTCAGAATCATGTGAAAAATCCGAGCCTACAATCCAGTGTAAGTGTTTTGGACTGCAAATCGGTTTACTTTGAGTCGGCCTCAAAGCCATAGGAGTCCTCGGAAAGGCCAAGATCCAGTCCGCAGGACGAAACCGGGTCAAACCCAGTTCCGATTCCAAATATTTTACCAGAACAAAGTGAACCGGACGATTAAACCAGTTCAAGACCAGCCGGTTTGGCCGGTTAAGTCCAGTCGGAGTTTGAATGCTTCGCCTTGAGTTGATTTAGAACAAACTTTTTCTTGTGTGCAGATATTGGTGGTCCAAAAGCTGCTTCAGTTGATAAGAGGTGGGTCAGACTCTTGGAGCTGAAGAACACGAATCGTTGACCGATTGATGTCAATTTAATCTCTGTGTCTTGACATAAGAAGTATGCTGTACACGACTTTAGCCAACACCCTTTTCGTTTACCCTTGCCCTAGTCCTGCCTCTAGAGAGACATTATATGAAAACATAATTGTCACACAGCATTGTGCAAATAGGTTGCAATAAAAGGTTCTTTCTCAAATAAATCAAGATTTTGACTCCTGTTCTCATTTCCCGTACTCTTGTAAGGTTTTATTGTTGTCGTAAATTTGAGGGGATAACAATTTTGATGGAAGCAATGCCAATAGGCTCGTCTGAGCAGAAGGTGAAAAAGGGAGGAAGATTGTATTCTGTGGTGAAACTCAGATTGCAGGCCAAATTGTCAGGGCTTCAGTGAGTAATTTCATTAACTATTTATTCATTAGAAGTTGGATTTAGACATTTTCTTGCCAGCCAAGTTGGGTGTCAATCCGCTGTTGAAATGGCCTCAAGAAGAGGTGGGAGTAATTAGTAGAAGCAGTCGTACAAATAACAAAATAAGCCCCCATCCACCAACAAATTGATATGATTGAAGTCGACACACTCTTCCATCAGCCTCTTTTCAAATATTTTAAATAAAAAATCAAGAACAACATCACGACAACATATGAAAGCAATACAATCAGACGGTAGATGTCCCTTTGAGCGAGAGAACTTGTCAAATCAAATTTTGGCTTATCCTGTCAAGAATGCACACTTCCTTTCTAACTTGACAAGGATGCCAGAACTTTCCAATAGGCCGCAATGACGGAAGACAAAGCACAACTGATTCACCACCATCAAGCTTGTCAGTAAGCCGAACTCTATGTAAGTAATTGCAAAGTGATTCATATATCTGCTGCCAGAAAGTTTGATGATAATGAGACCTGCAATACGTAATGAACATCCATTGAGAGTCGGCTTTCAGATAAGCTAGTTGTCCAATCCAGTATGGATGAGCGCGGACATAAAAAAAGCACATAAGCATGCACGTTATGTGTGTTCATGCTTCTGTGTTTGTGTTTGTGCTTGCGAGAGAGAGAGAGAGAGAGAGAGAGAGAGAGATTACCTTTTCACCAAGTTTGAATGGTGGAAGACCCTTGTAAGGGCATGTACCGCAGCGAAAGGCATCTCCCAGACCACACTGCATGGCATGATAAATCAGCAAAATTATAAGCCCAGGATGAAAAATCATGAGTTAAAAGATTTCCAACATAGTATACAGATCCGCAGAGATTTTCTATATACAAAAGCAGCCCCCCATGGCGGAAATGAACTGAGATTTATGCACTCCTAAGAATCTAATCAAGGAAATCGATGCTCCAAGAGAACAAGGCATAGTGCAACTGCTACAGCTTTGCTAAGACAAGAATCATAATGAAGCCAAAAGCATAGATCACCCTGTCAAATACTGTATCGTGGCGTAAAACTTTCGAGCACCTGCAATTTTATTGTTACACTTAATATTTACCAAATGAAGGAAAAAAACACCCTGTCAGATACTATATTTTTGCATAAATCCTTCAGCATCCACAATCTTACTGGTAATTACACCCCATTTTAACAACCAAATAATAAAACAGCAAATAAGAGAGCATACACTGCCACATGCCGATTGAGGATTGTTTAGCTGGTCCGAGGTGAGTCCCAGTTTTTCCACTTTCTCCTCTTCTTCAGCTCTCCCACATGTGCAATTCTTGCAAGCTTTCCTAGTGCTTCCAACTTCACAGTCCCCAACTACAAAAGTTGTTTCTATATTATGAAGAACTCCAAACACAAAAAGCTCACAGAACCGATTCATTACTACTCTGCTATTATACCAGGTGGAAGTTGCGGTTTCTTCAAGTCCTCTTCAGTTAAAAGGCTGTCCTCATCTATCAAATCATCATCATTGCCCATTATTTGAACTTTTGGAAAGCTTTTTGCGCCCTTCTTAATTGCAAAGGAGGAGCCAAGTTTCCAGGATGGCTTTGTCGCTTTGACCTGAGAAAATTCAAAAGACATACCATTAGATGCTTGCAATGCATAATTCGATAGCATAAAATTGGTATTAAATTGTGAGGGATTGACAGCAAACTATATGAATTAATTCGATAACAAAATAACCAACAAAAAATCATCCCAGATATGAGAAACCTGGGAGGAAAAAACTTGGCCCACCACTCTTTTCAACATTTTATTCAAGGAGCAGAATAATGAAGTGAAATCGAGATGGACAAAGATAGGTCATGCTAAAAACTGGCACTCACCATAAAATGTCGTACACCATCAGAGCTTGCCACTGATTTAATTTGAAGACTCTGTGCTTTTAAAAATCCAGCCAACAGCAACTCCCGTTCAAGAGCAGAGGATGCCTAAAATCGAAATTTCATATGATGTTCAGAACGGCATATTATTCACTCACATCAAATAGACGAGTAAAGAGAAAAGCAGATGGTGATGATGTTTCACCACGGGCATCATCTACCTTAGATGTATCCTCCGCTACGGATGATAAAGCCTTACAAATCACAATGGTTCCACCAGGCTTCAACACTCTTGAGATTTCTTCGAACAAGCTATTACCAGGAAATTCAGGTGACTTGCAGATAGCGACGGCGAAGTCCACAGAAGAAGACTCTACCGGCAGTTGACCTGTCACCAGCCAGAAAATAATCAGGGGAAGCACAATTTAAATCTCCAAATTAAAGCCATATTTGTCAAAATAAAAAGACAAAAACAAGAGACTACGAACTCCAACTAAGTGAAGTTGGAGCATTTCAAGCACATTACCAATAGCTCTTCTTTCATTTAAAATCAGGTTGTCAGTTAAAATCAAAGACGCAATCTGTACACTGTGAAAAAAAGGGGGCCTGCACCCTTGCTGAGAAACATGCACATGTGTGCTTGTGTACATACATTCACATGATGAACCAAAGATCAAAGATCAGTCAACTTGCCCAACAACTTTGTTCCTTCATAGAGCCGATTAATACATAACAAGCACAAATGGAAGTTCCTAAAATGAAGTTCTAATTTTCATTTCGATTTATCTGTAATATGGGAGACGTGGTGACAATAAACTATGAGCACAATATATGAGATACCCAAACAGAGTAATCAAACAGACGATTCTGACACAAACCTAGAGACTGACATGAGATCTAAGAAGGCTAAACACTTTTTTCAAGAAAGGCTTGCATTGAGAGGTCTCAAATCATTAAGTTTATGCGATTGAAGTTTTGCCTTGCCACCTGTCGAAGCCTCCCATCAAAAGAGCAATTGCTCACCATGTCAGTGACCGAGATTTCGTTCGTGGCAAAAAAACAAAGCCAGATATAGCAGATAGAAAAGGTCGCAATGATGTAACTAACAGAACACAAGGAAAGTAAGCAAGACAGCGAAAATAGAGAGTGATCCATCTAACAAATGCTAAACGGGCACATGCAATCCTGGAAAGCACAACGAACATTGTATGATACCTAACCGAGATGCCTGCGTGATGATTTGAGGATCACACTGCTCCAGGTTGTCACTTCCAACCTCCCTAATCAAATCAAAAACTGCTTTCATTTGCATAACCGCGTCATCAGTCAAAGCCAGCACGGCACACTGCGTTGCCATTGGATCCTACAAAGAAACCAGAAGGGAAAAATTCAGCATACAGCCCAAGGAACTCTTAGAGCACACAAAGACAGGGAGAACCCAAAGGACATACGTCTCCCCACGCTAATGAGAACCAGAACGACGCCAAAACTTTCCATGATTAGTTAAACCCAGAAAAACGCGATCAAAAAAACCAAGGGCAACCCAGAAACTTGTGACCACCGATTTACACACCCTGATAAAGAACGAACCTCAAACATCTCAAAGTTGGCAGATTTAAATCAAATCAACGCCGGAAAAAGCACTCCACTTCGTTTCCCACGTACTATTCTACAGCGGACAAGCGAAAACGAAGCGAGAATCATCACACACCCAAAACGAAAAATCAGTCCAACACCTCAAATATCTCAAGCTTCGCAGATTGAAACCAAATCTAACGCCGGAAAAGAAAAAGAGCATTCCGCTTCGTTTCCCACGTACTATTCTACAGCCGACAAAGCGGAAACGAGGCAAAGAGAGGAAAACCCAGTCAACGAAACGAAAGGCCGGAGGCGAGGACGGGCCCAATCGGCGATGCGCAAAGACGCGCGCTGTGGCGCCGATTGGGCAAGAGGGGATCGAGACGACTCACCATTTTTCGAAGCGCAGAAGCTCGTTGGGGTGGGGTGGGGGGTGGGGGATCGATGCCTCGACGGCTGCCTCACGCGATGCACCGACGAATCCTTCGAGAGCGACTTGGAAAGGGGAAGGACACGGGAGGTTGTCGGCCTTTATAATAACCACCGTCCGTCTGTTCCCCTCGCCGACTTGCCCGACCCGTTTTGACGGACCCGCCCGGCCGGCGTTCGGATTCGGAAAGGCCCCTTGCTTGCTTTGCTAAGGGTCTCTCCTTCTTGGTGGCGGTTCGTTTAATCGAATTTAATGACGACAAAACAAAAGGATAAAGCGTAAATTTCACTTTTGGTCAATCTCATTTATGTACATTTTGGCTCAAATTCCACGTGAGAAATTATAGTTCCGCGTGGCGAGCATTTGTACGAATTTAAAGAACCGTCTTATAAGCGAAAGCGTAAATCTTTCGCGTGTTTTTAACTATGTCAATCTCCTCTTAAAATGCGAGCTTCTTCATTTGACCGAAAATTTTTTCCCAAACCGACTATTTTTCGTGACCCAAGCGACAGCATTTTCTTAAAATATCTGGTTTAAGCTTTTGTTTGATTACATAATAATATGTATTTCTTAAGTCTTTGAAAATGTTCTTTATTTTAGAACAGTATTTGGATGGGAGGGGAATAGGATTAATCATATTAGAAATTACAGTTAGTGTATCCATCATTTTGAAAAAAGAATTTTTTTTTTTAATTCATTGAGCCATTGACGGATTTAACATGGGTCAATAGGGCACTGGACCCCTCTAAGCTTCCTATAGTAGATACAGTATCTTGTATTTTTATTTATTGAATTCACCTATATATATATATATACACACACACAAGTGCGAACTAGTAGAAGATTGGGCTTCATTCAATGTAGGAAGAAAAGAGGATTGTATTGAGATTACGTTTGTTTCATAAAAAATAAACTTTTAAGAAAAAAAATATCAACAGTTTCTAGCTGTATGATGCCCGGAAAATATGTCCGAAAAAGAAAGTATTTTCAGCCAACAGAAAACTCCCAGTTCAAAAGTCAGAAAAATGAATTCCTATTTAAAAAAACTGAGAGTCATTTTCCCCGATCGAGAAACATTTCCCTTTCGAATAAAACTTACCAAACACCGGTTGACCCGTCCTCTATAGGCCCTTATTGAACTGCTTTGTTTTGAGACCCCGTTTTTGGGTTCCTCTGTTTCAAGATTTCAATGAAAAGCCTTTGTTCTGACCAAAAAAAATCTCGTTCGTGCCTTTGATTGCACTACGTCACCCACACCCATCGCCGAGACAGAGCAGTACCAAACGTACACTTCAGAGATCATGCAGAGCAGAGCCCGTTCGCATCATATGTCAGCAACTACATCCAGCGAAAATGAGTGCATTTTCGCGAAACAGCGGATGAATTATACAAGGTTATTATCACGAAAAATCCTAAATTAGTATATTTATAATAATTTTATCCCGAATTAATTTTTTGACCACCAAAAATCTCAAATTGGTACACCTGTAACAAATTTATCCCGAACTATTTTTTTAACCACTAAAAACTTCAAACTGATACATTTGTGATAAATTTATCCTCCGTTAGTGTCCGTTAAATTGGATTAATATCACGAAAAATCACAAATTGGTAAATTTGCGATATATAGTGGGGTGAAACCCCAAACTGGTACACCCATCAACTATCACGTATCATTAAATTTAGCAATTTGACAATAAAATTTAACGAAAAATAACGGAAGGTAAATTTGTCACAGGTGTACCAGTTCGGGGTAAAATTGTCACAGGTATACTGGTTTGGAGTTTTTTATAATCAAAAAAATAATTTGAGATAAATTTATCATAAGTGTATTAACTTGAGATTTTTCGTGATATTAAACCAATTATATATGCACATGCTTACCATGGAACTTGTTTTCAGTCTATTTGCTTTTCTGAGATACAATCCTCATTCGTCAGTCTACTATTTTCCATTGAATTTAACCATCATAGTCACCATGTCTGAGCAGAGCAGGAGAGGATCTTGCCCAGGTAATTGTCAGATTCAGACAGGTAAAATCATTAGTATAGAAATTGCATTAACTTCATTGCAAATAGTCATGGCCACGGCCGGTTTCGGCCCGGAACCGGCCCGGTCAAATCCGGGCCGCGGTTCGGAACCAGAACCGGCCCGTGGCCTACGGGCCCGGTTCCGGTTCCAGCAATTTTGGAACCGGCCCGGTTCCAAAAAAAAATTAAAAATTTTAAATAAATACATTTATTTATAAAAAACAAAACAAAAAACAAAAAACCTGCAGCAGGGCCTGCACATCTGCAGGCCCTGCTGCAGCCCGTTGCCAGGGCAGCCTTGGCAACGGGCAAAAATAATAAATAAATAAATAAAAAGATAACCGGAACCGGCCGGAACCGGAACAGGAACCGGACCGGAACCGCCAGTTCGTGGCCATGTATGAACCGGAATCGGAACCGCCAGGGGGCAGTTCCGGTTCCGGTTCATACATGGCCATGACTAATTGCAAACCAAGGAAGCGAAGGCATGTCCTGAAGTTGGGGATGAACGTGCTTGCCTCCACCCAGTTTTTGCTACTAAAAGGCCACAAGACAGTTTCATTTGCTATGCATCTCATCAATCATCTCATATGAAAATAATAGATAACGAAGATTGCATGATGGGATGGGGAGATGGTGTCAGGTCATCAAAGCAAAACACAAAACCGGAAAAAAGAGCAAAGAAAAGGGGATTAGATAGCCATCCAGCAAAGGTCGACTCGTTAGATCATCCAAAAGAGAGTTCAACCTAAACAATCCTTCAGCAAATAAAGTCACAAAAGAAGAAACACCAATCCACTGTCGCGAACAAAGGTGGAAGGAAATCCTAAGATGACCGACACAGAAGTAAGATATCCCTGCCAATAAAAAAACACTCCATCCTTGTTAATCTGCTGGCTGATCGGCCTCAGCATAAGCGGTCTCGAGGTGCGCTTGCTCTGCTTCCTGCACCTCCTTCTCAGTCTTCCTTCCCTTCTTGGACTTGTAGTACACACTCATGAAGGTCCCCACGGCTTTGTACTTCTTCCTACAGTGCTCGTAGAGGCCAGCATCAAACATCTTCCAGAAGTTCTTTTCATTCAGCTCAGAGACTGCATACTGGGGCTGGAAGCCATGGTTATCGATCAACCAGTTCTCCATCTTGCGAACAGCTTCAGCGCCGTCAAATACCTCGCCTCTTAAGACGGGCCCAGGTGAATAATAGACCCCGACATCTGTGTACATTTGGGCATATTGTGTGTCTCCCTGTCTGCGATGTAGATCGAATCCAGGTTCAGGGTAGACCATGGTCTTCATGGGAAGCTTATAGAGCCTGTGTGGGCAAAGCCAAAGGGGGTATACCTGAAATTGAAAGAATAAACAACAAATTCATACGACAACGCAAACATGAAAGAGGCAACAACCACATTTTGAAATATCTTAATTGCCACATCCCAGACTTCAGACAGGGAAAGGTCTAGATCCAAAGATACAGTGCAAAGTAGCACACGGGAACTAGGCAACTGTCCATGCACTATGTTATTTTTTGTTTATATTTCATCAAAATAATAGAACAGATGTTTCAAAGAACAGCAAGCAGGAGCATCAGAAGATTTACCTCCATCTCCTTGTGTACCCATTCAAGAGCATCACCGACCTTGTACAGTGGAACCAGCATGTCCTGAATAACGTGCATCTCGTGATAATAGTTTCGAATAGCTTCACCTTGGGTAGCCTTGAGCAGAGAAACTTTTGGAGGCATTATCCAACCAAGGAGGAACCTAAACCACCACTGATCTGCAAATGGAAGGATCAACTTCCCCTCCCAGTATAAGCACCTGGTGTGCCTATGGTAATATTCTCTGGTAGGGATGTACTCTACAAACTCCCCTTTCTTTAATGCCGTCTGTGCATACTGATAAAACCAGGGTTTAAACCACCATCCTACACTGTTAATCACATTCCCCTTCTTCTTGGCCTCTTCTTTAGAAGCATATTTCCCAGTCATACATACAGCTTCTGTTGGCGAATATATCATTGTCTCTACAAAGTCAGGAACCTTTTCGGGATTGTCCTGATCTCCATCTCGTGGTGCGAAGGAATCCATGTATCCTTGTGCAATGTCTTTTAGATTACCCACGACAGGCTTGTATGTCAGCTTCATATATTCCTTGACGGGTATGAGCTTGATCTCCGCGGAGACAAGAAGACCCAGGGTGCCTTGAGACCAGGGGATGGTATAGAAAAGGTCAGAGAACTCATTATCCTTGGTTGCTCTAACCACTCGTCCATCTGCTAGAACTATCTCATATGCTACAACAGTATCAGAAAATAGACCATATATGTGGGAGCTTCCCTCGATTCCATAGCCATTGATGAGGCCACCAACAGTAAGATCATCAAGCTCAGCAACAACTGCTAGGGAGAGATTCATAGGCACCGTAACCCTACTGATCTGCCCCATATTGACTAGCGGCTCAACTCTGGCAACCATCCGCTCTTTGTCAATTTCAAGTATATTCCGGAAAGCCGATAAATCAACCTCAAAATGCCGGGCCCGCTTGTAGTCCACATTTCGCATTCCAACAGCAATCCAAGGTTTACGAGCGGTGCAAACCAGACCACCTGTTTTGGGATCCCTTTCTTTAAGACAATTAACAACTTTCTGAACATTTTCATCATGTTCCTTCTGACGCTGCTTGAATGACTTCCTCTCTGATTTGACATCCCCGAGATATGTGAGGAAATACAAGGTGAAAGAGATTGGGAGCACGACAAAGATGACGATAATCCATCGGAACTGAACAAAATAATCCACCCAGATCTTCTTCCTCTTTGGGCGCAGGGGAGAATTAAGATCAGACATTGTGGTTGTCAATGCACCTTAATCCTGCAATAAGGACCTTGTTACTAAACCAGAAGAAGATTACTAAAGTTTCAAGCTGAAATAAATGGAAAAAACCTCAAGTAACATTCATGATAACTTAGGACCAAGATATGACCAACTATATTTCTACTTGGAAATGTTTACAACTCAAAGCAGAATGACGTGAAGCAAACAAACTTCAAATTTAATGAATAATGCACATGCACAAATCATAGATAGAAAAATATCATGCAGCAAGCACTGGTGTCTTTCATCTATCTCTCAAGAACAAGGATGAAGGCAAACTTGAAGATTTTTTCCTCAAAGAGATTGCCAAGTTCCGAGTTTCGATAACAAATCACTGCCACTTCAGATATACCAGATGAAGTTGAACAGGGGCCTTAGGTAACTTGAGTCAATCAACTCCACTAACAATTAAACTCAACTTAGTCACGACCTGAAATCTTTTTGGTCAAGACCACATTCAAACATGAACGAGTTTCATTCACATCATCAAGCCCAATTTAAACACTTGACAAGCTCAACATTCCACATGAACTATAATCAAATTCAAGTTTGGATTTCATATCAGTACTGAAATAAAAGATAAAATTGAAAATGATTTATCTTTAGATACCGTGCAGGATATTGAAAAGTATAAAAGCTTAAACCTGTGCAACTTATTATACCCTCAGTCTTAAAAACCATTCATTTCCAGGATTAACAAATTCAAACTCCGGGATTCTCTCGCTTACGCTGATCATTATTCAGAAAGAACATAGTTTCATAGTCGGGATACCAAGATCAATGGATACAAAATAGAATAAAATACACGAAAGAGAAGTTTATCTTTCAATTGAGGAAAATAGGCATTTCACTGAACCAAACACCCCAAATAGTCACGAGACTGAAAGCTATCTACCGATATTATTAACCAACAAGCCACAACTTTGAAATTATTCTTTCTCAACTTTTTTCGGAGAAGTGTTATAAAATACTGTTCTCCATAGCAAATTTGATTCCAAAACGTTACCAGTAAACGCCATTCTTAGAAGTTTGACGATTCACTGCAATTCAAATTACCATTTTCATTTCAAGCTATGAAAATAGCAATATGTTTTTGCCCAGTAAAAGCTGCTTGGTGTGTCGACGTCTTACATATGCATAACCATATTAAAGCGAAAAAAACCAACTTAATATCTTGAGACTCCATGCCATCTAAATAAGCAAATGCTATGCTGTAATTCAAATAGTTCCCTCAGGGGAACAGAAAGGTCGTGCAGTTTATATTGCAGGTCGCTAAAACTACTCTTCCCAAGTCAATGCATCCTCAAATAAAAAAAAAAGAATGAATTTATAGCATTTTCTCTCATCCCCAGAGTCATCCACAGTGTTTTCTGGATTCCATTAGATCATAATATTTGTACATACTTATAAAAAAACCGAGAATCTGAAAATTCTTCTCTGCTTAAACAAAAAGTACTTGAAAACATATATTTGAGGAATTGATAATTAGTTAGATAGTCACATTTGCATGCGGGTAAATTGTCCAAACATTCTGCAAAGCTACAGAACTAATGTGCTGGACAAAAGTAAAGAAGATACACTCACATATTCCCAAGAGGGAGGGGGGGAGTGGATTCAATAAATTTTGATGTAGTAGTTTTCGAAATTACAAGCATGCTTCGCAAAACATTGGAACAAGCATTGACAGCATGCTCTCAAGTCCAGAAACAGTCAACTCAGCTGGAGGAGGTGCCTTAATACAAAAGTGTGAACTCCCACGCAGTCCTTTTTTATATTGTCTTACAGTAAAAACAAAACAGGATTCATGACCCATCAATATAATACCCACAAACTCAGATCTAGATCAGTAACGTGCGACAGGACAGGCCTTGAAGGACGGAACTTACAGAACAGCTTCCACGATGTACACACGGTAGAAACAAAAGCTCGTCCAATCTAAACTCTAAACCCTCAAAATGTCCAATCCGCAGTAGGATCTTCCATTTCACCGACCATAACGATTTCATTGAACGCGGTACAAAGTGTCGCATCTATCGACGCATTTTCAGTCAACCCAGTGACTCCCGCGCAGCAGAAACGAAAAAAAAAAAATTCAAACCAGACAGACCCACACGCGCACGCGCGCGACCATTAACCACTCAAACAGATCTACCGCCGCAAACGAAGGAGCATTCTCGAGGAGCAACAGAAGTACTAAGACCAGGCGAATCCAGTACACTCCACAGCAGCGCAAGATGGACCAAAAACGACATGCGCGCGCATCCATCGGACCTCCGGACGTTCTCTCCTCGCGTACCTTCCCGCGACCTCAAGGACGACACGAACAAAGCAAAAACAAAAGCTTGCGCAAGCGCAAGCGCGCACACGCGCGCACAAAAGGCAGGGGAACCGGCGAAACGGCGCGAGAGGCGCGAGAGCCGCTCGAGAAACGGAACCGACGGGAAATGGAGCCGGTCGCGAGCGAGAATGCAGCGCCGGCGACGGCGATGGCGACGGCGACCTTCAAAACCCTAGCGGAGCGAAGATTTTAGAGAGTACCTGAGCCGGAGAGCGAAGCCCGGCGGCAATGATTGGGGAGGAGAGAGATAGGGAGAGGCGGAAATGGCGACTGCTCGCTGCAACGGCCAAGCAAAAATGTTATATAGAGGAGGAGATATTTCTTACCAAAATAAATTAATTAATTAACTAACTAATTAATTAAATCATATATTCTCATTATTCCAAGGACGGAATTTCTAATTAACGGGAATTGGATGTGAATTTTCTATAATTCCGACCGAAAAAAAATGGGAATGTGAATTTCGTCGACAAATTTCAGACATCCAAAATAAAGAAAATTTGTCGTCTCCACGAGCCCCCAACATCTCCAAATGGTCGATATTTTTCTTATTTAGATATAATCGATGAGTGCCTAGCATGGTGTCCGGGAAATGAAGGTCGCACCAAATGACTACGAGGTCCCCGGGCCCGGACACGTGCTGGTCCGGGCGGGGCATGCGATGGAAACACAGGGTGGTCGTGGTGGGCGGGGGCGACCACCGGTCATGTCCGGCGAAGATTATTGATTGGTGGGGGTTTCGGGAACTTTTGGATTTTACCATTATTGGAAAAAAAATCAGATTTTTGCCTTTTTTTAGCTTTATGGTCCTTTTTTGGTGGGATGCTTTACTGATCATGGATCTGTTCTGCTTTTTCAAATATCAGTGTATCCAAGGAAATTAAAAACGAGGTCAGATAATGTCAAAAACAAATTAAGAGGAAAAATAATTGGGTACGGACCGGGTGTTGCGAGTATTTGGGTCTCAATATTTATTTCGTGATTAATTGAATGGAATGGAAAACAAACATTGTCATTTCTTTTTGAACATCATTTTTCTTAATGCGAATAATCTTGTTAACGCATCTTGACAAAGAAAGTTTGTCATTTCTCAAAATGTTATCTGTTTGGTATCGCGTGTGATCAATATAAATTATTGCAAATCACTTGACTACCCCGCGTAATAAGATGATGCTATATGCAGAAATGTTCGCCATCAGAAATTAGCAAAAACTCGAAATGAATCCGGATAAATAATTTTTGTTTCCTTAAAGACACTGATATTTAAAGAAGAAGAAGAAGCAAACTCCCGCGTATTTTTTTCTATACTCAAAATCACTACCAACATGAATTTATTTACGTTACATGTGTCGATACAAAAGAAAAATCAATTCAATTTGAGCAATTCGAATTTCGCACCGCTCGATCAAATTTTGCGTGTCGAATCATTATGTCTTGTAATATCGTAGTAACAAAACAATACGATGACGTGAACAAGTTAAAAAAAAAATCGGGTAAGCCGATAAAATACGCTCGTCAAAAAAAGCTATATAAAGTTTATTTATTTATATATATATATTTTTTATTTTTTTTGGCAGAGAGGGAGATCCAATATCCATGAATAGCGACTTGCACGCGACACCTGGGTGATAATGACTTCCATATGGTTTATCGACAGTACAGCGAAATAAAAATTAAAAATTAATAAAAAAATATATATGGCCGAATAATGAATAAATAATTTTAAAAAATCCGATTAAAAAAATTAGAATGGACAGAGAAAAGGACAAAAGAAATGAAGAAATCGGAGAGGGATCCAGACATTCGCTGTCACTCGCGATGTCTTTAAGACGCACAGACACAGCATCCCATGTGACGTGACCTCCCACCCCCCGTATTTATTTATTATTTAATTTATTTTCTTTTCCAGTGTCATTATCGTAATTAATTGCGAAATGATGTACATTTTCGAGATTATTATTTTTTTATAATTTCGTCGGGGGGGGGGGGGGGGGGGGGAGGGGGAATATCTGGACGTGCAGAGAAAAAGCTGATTAACAGCTCTTAAAGCGACGCTAATCATGTTTATAAAAGGCGAATCTGGGTGGCAATTTTCGGATGGTGGCAATAGATTAAATGGAAAAATAGGACAAAGGTAGATTTTTCAATTTGATTTTGGGAAAAATTTCAAATCAGTACCCAAAATGAGATCATTTTCTAAAGGGAAAAAACCACTAAAAACCCCAAACTTTACCGTTCGTGACACATTTACCCCAAACTTTTTTTTGTGACACCAAAAACCCCAAACTTTGCTATTTGTGACACATTTACCCCAATATATAGTAGCCTAGGGTATTTTAGTCTTTTTCCCTTTTTCTATTTTTTTCTGTTTTTTTTTTCTTTTTTCCGGCGAGGCTGCCCTCGCCGGCGAGGTCTCCGGCGACCTCGCCGCGCAGAGCGAGGCGCCCTCGCCGGCGTTGGGCGAGGCGACCCTCGCCTCGCCGGCGTCGGGCGAAGGACCCTCGCCCGCCCGGGCGAGGGCGCCCTCGCCGGCGTTAGGCGAGGCGACCCTCGCCTCGCCGGCGTCGGGCGGCGGCCCTCGCCTCGCGGCGTCGGGCGAAGGACCCTCGCCTCGCCGGGAGTCGGGCGAGGACCCTCGCCCGCCCGGGCGAGGTGAAGGCGCCCTCGCTGGGCGGGCGAGGCGACCCTCGCTGCGGCGGCGAGGTCGCGGAGACCTCGCCGGCGAGGGCGGCCTTGGAAAAAGAAAAAAAACAAAAAAAAATAGAAAAAGGGAAAAGACTAAAATACCCTAGGCTACAATATATTGGGGTAAATGTGTCACAAATAGCAAAGTTTGGGATTTTGGTGTCACAAAAAAAGTTTGGGGTAAATGTGTCACAGATGGTAAAGTTTGGGGTTTTTGGTGGTTTTTTCCCTTTTCTAAAAAAGGAGTTCAAAGTGGACATAATGTAAAATAAGGATCTGAAGTGCCCAATCAGTCTCAAATAGGGGTCCGAAGTGCCCAATTAATCTCAAATAAGGGCCTGGGTTCGCCGACTGGTCAAATGCTCACCGACGGGCAAGCACATCACTGTTCCGGCGATCGGAACAAGGGCAATTTCGTCTTTTACTTTAAAAAAAATTTTTTGTTTCTTTTTTCCTTTTTCTATTTTTTTTCTTTTCTCTTTTACTTTAATTTTTTTTTGTTTCTTTTTTCCTTTTTCTATTTTTTTCTTTTCCTTTTCTTTTCTTCTTCTTTTTTTTTTCCTCTTTTCCCTCCGCCGCTCATAGCCGGGGCCGGCGGAGGTTGCCGGCCTCAGGCGAGGGCCGCCCTCGCCGGTGCCGGGCGAGGGTCGCCCTCGCCGGTGTCGGGGTTGCTCTCGTCGGATCTGGCGAGGGTCGCCCTCGCCTGCCCTGCCTAGCCCAGCCCAGTCGAGGGTGACCCTCGCCCGACCTTGGGTTGCCCTGGCCGGCATCGAGCGAGGGCGGCCCTCGCCCGACGCCGGCCAGGGCAACCCAAGGTCGGGCCTTCGTTCAAGGCCGGCAACCTCTGCCGGCCTCGACGGAGGGAAAAGAGGGAAAAGAGGAAGAAGAAGAAAAGGAAAAGGAAAAGGAAAAGAAAAAAATAAAAAAAGGAAAAAAGAAACAAAAAAAATTTAAAAAATAAAAGATGAAATTGCCCTTATTCCGATCGTCAGAACAGTGACGTGCTTGCCGGACGGTAAGCATTTGACCAGCCGGCAAACCCAGGCCCTTACTTGAGACTAATTGGGCACTTCGGACCCTTATTTGGTACTATGTCTATTTTGAACTTCTTTTTGAGAAAATGACCCAACTTTGGGTACTAATTTGAAATTTCTCTTGATTTTGGGATCTGTTGAACAAGTTTTTTTTTTTTCGAATTTTGTTGAAAAAGTTGAGTTGCAAGAAAAGGGTACAAATAAACAATTAAAGAAACGGTCAATTTTTTTAAAAATTATTGAATTCGAACGCTTCTCGATTAACCTTTGAGACATTATTCGAACGGAATGAAATTAATTCGGACATAGCAAATTTGCCTTGTACGAATCATGGCATTTGCCGCTCGTAGCAATTTCGAAGGCCGCTCCCGCTTCTATGTGGGTTTTGAGCTTTATTTGATATGTGCGAATGATGTGGTTTGGGTGCATTCGCTGAAATTAGTCGAGTCGATTGAAACTCTTCGTGCTATAAAAGAACTAAAAAAAAAATTTAGATCTCAATTTCCACATGCCAGAAGTCAAAATAATCATGGCATGATGACATAATGAACCCACGATGTCTATAATTGTGTTACTTTTTCGTTTTTTTTTTTTTATAATGCTCGTGTGATGTCTTACATTACTTTTTGTATATCAAAAGTTCCCCTTTTCAATCCGCATCGAGACTAGGAATTCACAGGGTATTACTGTTGGATCGTTATGGGATTAGGAAAAGATTGTGAACATTTTTTTAATTAGAGACAACGACAATATACTATTGATTGGTCCCTCCCTCGTAGTGGGTTGCTTGTCCTTAGGCACACCAAGCATTAATGTACAACTGGTTACACATTTATGTAGAATTTATCTAATTTATCTAATTTATCATGTGTGGCCCATCTGGCAACTGTGCCATCCAAACTTTAATTTATCTTTATTTTTTGGGTCAAATCCAAACTTAATTTGAAACGAGTGAACAGTGGATCTGGGAGGGGAAGCACGTGCACATATAAAATATAATTGATTTAAGATCTGGCTATGTTATTCTTATTTTGGATATTGTGTTGTAACGAGATTATCCAGGGGAGGACCTATCGTAGATAAAGTGGCGTTATCACGAGAGATAATGACACAAATGGTTTTTGAATTTTAATTTAATATGCAATATGGTTCATAAAAGTATCAGCACCGAACCGAAGAACCGAAACGATATAAGAACCGAACCGAAAATTTGGTGCATTTCGGTTCGGTTTGACTTTCAGTTCGGATTATCAAAATTAACCAATTTTTTTTTTCGGTTCGGTTCGAATCGAACCTAAAATGAGCCACCTTCGAGTTTTGCTTGGATGAGTCGCTTCGCTTTCAGTTCAACTTGTTTAGATTTCTGCTCCGGCGTCAACTCGTGGCAAATTGGATGGAATCGCATCGGTTTCGTCGAATTTCTCATGAACTTGAAGTTGTTCTAACTACACGAGTCTATGAAATCTGTCGGAATCAGATTCGGCTGTTAGTTTCGAGTTCGGTGATTGGAGTTCGTTCGTTCATTCCCCGGCTAATCTCGTGCGTGTAAATGTGCGTTTGCAAATAGGTTGCGGTTCTATGCCAA